TTTTGAATTAGCTGTATATTGAATTTATATTGATGCATTCAGGTCACTGTATTGTGTTACAATCAAATTGAAATCCAAAAGGTATTTTAACCCATTGAGTGGCAGCACTCTCTCTTTATGAGTAAAATCATCTGGCGTTAGGGGTAAATTCAAAATTGAATATATTGTATAAATAAGTTATACAATACCGATAATATCGGCAACAAACATTCTGATTCCGATATATTGAATTTAAAGCTGATATACCAATATCCGATACACCGATATGGATATCGGTACATCACTACTTTAAGTTTAATGTGTCCTATATTATGTGTTATGTATGCTTGTATTTTACTAGGTGTTACTTCTTCAGGTGAAATGAAATGAAGCATTACAAAATAAAACAAATTAAATATATGTTAATTAAACCAAATCTATCAAGTCGAGTTGAATGACAACTTACCACCTTTTGCACCGCCTCTCAAAACATTTAATAAATCTTCTTCATCTTTTGAAAGTGTGTGCTTGCTAATATCATTTGCCTTAACATTGTGACGAAGAACTGCGCGCGGCTTTTCAGCATTAGGCTTAGCAAAACACGCGTTGAACGTTGATAAGCCATAATGATCTCCGTTCTTTTCCAGTACCATTCGGCAAGTTTTGTGCAAATTTTCTGGTTGTCGCATGTTATTGGGGAGAAGAGTGAAATCACCATCATTTGCCAGGTTATTGGAATCCTTGTCATTTTCCAGCAGCACTACAGGTGCTTGAATTCCTAAAGCTTCACAAATATTGCGTGAAATGATCACCTTCTTTTCCTTCATCATTGCTTCCCATTGCGAAACATCAAAGTGGGGAACCGAGCAACAAAATGTCAAAACTGCTACAACATTTGGACGATGTTTGTCGACTATGTCCAACTCCTTAAGAGCACGCAAACTTTTTGCAAGACCACTATTGTTCCCCTCAATTCTGTGATCATTGGCACTTACGAGCAAGAATATAAGATTTGGAGAACACTTAGTCTTGGAATATAGAGGATGGGTTTCAAAGAAATGCTTCGTGGAGTATAAATTACAGGCGTCTTGTTTTAAGCCACGAGGGTCATTAAGACCAGGGGTGTCAATGACGCCCAATGTAAGATCGGAGGCTTCATGATCATGGTCATCGATAGTAACCAAGATCTCTGATGTTGTTTTTGTTTCAGGTTTAAATTTACCTGTTTTTGCCACCACATTGCCTTTTCCAGTCTCAAGCAAATGATTTATTGTGGCAGATTTCCCAGCTCCACTGCTTCCAATTAACAGAATTGAAGTGCGTTGAGCGCAACGTTCTAAATTGTCAGTCGATGAATTCATTTTGTGACGTGACTGCTGTTTCTTTTGCCTGTGTTGCTATTAAATTTATGTATTAAATGACACCTAGAAGTAGGGGGAAAATTTTATTCACATGCAGTTATGACATCCCATATATTATAAAGTGTTTTCTTTCACTTAAAAAATAACTTTGAAAAAATAAACGTAAACCGAGCAAACGTTGTAAATGTGACAGACCATGTGACCAATCCATTAAGTTGCATTGCATTGCGCTCCACTTTGTTATTTTACTCTGTCTAACCGACACACTTGACTATTTTATTCATCAATTAAAAGGGAAAGCACTGGCACTTAATGGATTAATCAGATTATCTAACAATGCGTTTTATTAAGTTGCATTAATACACCTTTGTGATATTGCTTTCTTTCGGCAGAGCGCGTTGACAGACTCTTCACATGAAACCGTAGCGAGAATCGAAACCACGATCTCAGACCCCCATGAATATGAGGTTCCGGTGGCGCAGCCTCATTTTCATTCCTCGTTAGGCCTCGTTTAATTTTCATGAAGCCTCACGATTCAGGAAAATGAGGCTCCCAGGCTAAGAACATATTCATGACGTAATTATCGAAAAGGTGTATTGCTCCCTGTTCCCTCCGTGGCGTACTTTATTATTTGACTCTGTCTAATGCCAGATTATTTTACTATATAATACCTTATTTTAGCAGATTATGATGATGTGATATGGAATTAAAATTCCCATTTCTTACCGTGCAATAGTACAAAAACTAGCTATTGTATGCATGCTCAGCCATGGAATAGTTTTTGTACTATCCAACAGTAGGGTTAAAATTCAATAATTTAAAATCCTATTCGTATCGTAATCGTAGCTCATTTAACTATAATTTTCATACTGAAACCAATGGAATTAAAATATCTCGTGCGAAGCAAAAATCATTGAACTCTTATGGGAACTGGAACGATAACTTGACGTTCATCTTTGACGCCAGTCATGATGGCCGCATTGTAGGACTGGTATGGAGTGAAAAATACGCCGCCTAAAAACATCTGTTTTCGAGCACTAAATAGCTGTATTTCTGCAAAGAAAAAAAGCTAAAAACATGTTTCCGGAGAGCAGTTTTTCTCGGCACATTAATTAAATCAAACTTGTGACTTGTGCAATATTTTGATAGCTAGGGATCTGTTACCCAGAAAGGTTTTGCTGTTGGTAGATGTAAAATACTTAAAACCAGGTTTGAATCTTCAAAATTGAAAGTGCTTTTTCTTGCTAATTTCCGCGCTCAAAACAGTGGCGTAACTTCTCTGGGCGCCGCTTGGCTCAAACCAGGGGCCAAAATCAATCAAAGGGGCCACTGAACAAGGATGACAAAGTGGCAAAGTTGATGTATTTCAGCAAATTTTACATCTTTTTGACGTTTCCCGGCCCCATCGCCACCCCTCTGGAAGAGACTTGAATCCCCTCTGGAAGTGCAATTTTGCATTTTAACCCCTCTGGAAAGAGCATTTTTCTCCCATTTTCTTCGATTATCCGGGTTTGGGTCAGTAGCGACTACATTCAGTTTCAAATGTCTTGGGACAGATGCTACAAAAACCTTTAATTTCAAAAAATGTCAATCTCCCCCGCCCCCTGTTCAATGTTGTGTGCCATTTTTCGGCATTGATTGGTGAGGGGGGAGAGGGAAGGAAGCGGTATTGTGTGTAACAAACTGTAATGATCCACTTACACTGTATAACTAATAAACTACAGTGTGTCTAAAAAAAAGTGAACCTTTCAAATTCAAATTAGCTATAACGTATCGTAGTAATTAATTTGACAGCTGTAATTGCTTTGAATTAATGGTTGGGTAAGAACACAAGGTCTTGTACTCATGGGACAAAACTCTTAAAAACTTTTAAATTTTCTAATTTTTATTTCTTTGAGTTTTGTCCCATGAGTACAAGACCTTGTGTTCTTACCCAACCAACCATTAATTGAAAGCATTTAGAGCTGTCAAATTACTACAATACGTTATAGGAATTTGAAAGGGTTCACTTTTTTTTAGACACACTGTATATGTATTCCAACAACTTTTGAAAGTGATTGCATGTAGTCATAGCAACAGGTCATACTATGCAAATTTTTAATGATTTAATTATACTATACATTAGAAATATATTGTCTTGAATATTTAGATGCAGGTTTATTTGCAAAGCATGACCAGTTCGCTAGCTTCGCTATTTATGTTTGTACGATTTACATTGGGAGCGACCTATTATTTTCAACGTTTGATTTGATACCGCTCAAACGTCGCTCTTGTGTCGAATCAAAATGTATTAAGTTCCGCGCATAAAAAGAGCGACATAAAATGTTGTTTCTGTTTGAGTGACGAGGCAAATGACTAAATTTTAGCACGCCAGTTTGCCGTAAGCGTTTAACAACGTCTTGATGCTGGCCCTGTTAAGAAAACAGGAAAATCTGTTATGTGCCGTTGAGTGAATAACGTCATTGATTCATTTATGTTGCATCATCGCATAATTTATAACAAGAGCCGTCGTCGCCATGTCAAAATTAGGG